CCCGCGGCTTAGAAACGTTTCGCAGGAAATCTCCCGCAAATCTGGACGGATGCGTTTCATAATTTACGCGAGGAAAAATAACGACGTTTCAGCGACCGACCAATTTTTTCTCGCTAATCGGGGGAAGCGAATCCTTTTTTTTGCTCGATAGATTACGATAAGCTTTGTCGGCCAAACAACTAATTCAACATACCGCCCCTATCTTCCAACAAGATATATTTTCTGCCTGGCAACGATTACTTCTTTGTACGCAAGTACACCTTTATTGCGTGTATTATTCTACGCAATAATATATGCGTAATGGAAATCGTTTTGGGTAAAAAGCGTTTGCAGGAATGGAGATTTAAAAAACTGTGATTTAAAATTCACGGTAGATCGTTCGAAAAAATAACACGTGACATATTTACGTCCCTCGCGAAATCGTATGTTGCGGAATTTTAATCGCCAACATTTTTCCACCCATTCGATAATCACATGTACTGATTCTTCATTAGCGCGCATTCAATTTCAACTTATTATTTTAATTAGCGTACGCGCGAGACACTTGAAAATGCGCATGTCCTCCCGGTGAAGTATATCCCCGGGGGAATTCGCGCATAAACTAAATGCGGCAAATTGTGCCCGCGATGGAACTGTCCCTCCGGAAATTATTTTAACGTACGTTTTTAAATTTTACACCAGCTGGCGGCAAATAGCGGCAAGCAACCCGCCAAAGTTTTCATCGTACAGTCCCTGATTCCCCGAACAAGGATATTTCGCGACGTCAACTATCCTATATCGCGCTCATCTCGCGTTAATACACGAGTCAAGTTTTGACAAGTCTCAGCTTAAGCCCTAATCTTTTGAAAGAGAAAAAAATGTATAATAGAAAGAGCGCGATTTTTTTTTATAATTAACGAAACGCCGACGAAAACAATGGCCAAAGCCGAAGATGTATAAAAGGGCAGATGTCGGAGTCAAACATACCTTCGTTCTTTTGATCAACGGTAATCCGAACGCGTCCGTGCATTCCTCTATCGGATTAATGCCCCGATTCGAGTTTCAGCAGCGTGCACCACGTAATAACCTGTAACAAAAGCACCCGTTGTTAAACGACTGTCGTTTGTAATAAACGCCCAGTTTGTCGGACAACAAGGGATTATCGACAAATGCCGCCCGAAAACTCGTGGATTTTACCGTAAACAAAATCCGACAGGGGGGAGAAATTATAAAATTTTAATGCGCAAATTTCCACGCATTTTCATAAATATCCGAGATCGCGCCCATTTTCTCTTAGCGTCCCCGCAATTTTATTTTCGCATTCCGATATTTCCGCATCGCCTGTTTTTAATTCAGCGTAATAATCGATCGTACGTTCCATCGAGGTTATTGGATTCTCACCGATATTTACGCTAATGTAATCACATGCGGGGGTGACGTATCTATTAATCGCGTTTTAAAATCCAACGAGAGAGTGAGTGAGAGAGAGAGAGAGAGAGAGAGAGAGAGAGAGAGAAAGAATTAATTACCATTTCAATTTTGCATTTTACCACTTTGGCCGTCACGCTTGTACGCCGAGAAAGTAGGAAACCTCTACGGAGGATGTAATCCGACTGTGTATAATCACCGTTGCGTTGCGCAGAGATTCACCGTTGCGTCAAATGCATTTACTTCTCGACGTCTATAAAACGCGACGACTTTGCCGGCCCCGCGTACGTAGTCGGTCATTCGGTGGGTTTTAATCCCTCGCGGAGAGCACACATAGTGGTGCGCCGGCTATCCGTAAAAAGAAAAATAGCCGCTGTAATTCCGGAACTTTCCAGACTGTCGGGAACCGAAAGGGAGAAAAAGAGAGAGAGAGAGAGAGAGAGAAAAGGAGATGAGTTCGAGACAGTTTCGCAAAGCCGATACCCTGCAAGAGAGGAATTATGGTGCGCGATTTGGAGTGGCCTCACGTACACGCGTTCCGTCGAACCTTCGCGATTAAATCTAAGCCCCCGCAACTTATTTCAAGCAAATAATTACTCTTCCGCGACTGGCATTACGATATATACGCGTAAAAAATCTAATCAACATTATATATCTGTGTATCCATCTCTTTCTAACTTTTCTTATACAGTAATATGGAACGTAAGTAGGTTATCTAATATTTTTCATACATAATGTGTCTTCTCTTTCAACATTGTCATTTTTAAATAAAATTTTTTACCGTCATATTTTTAGATTCATGTTCATCTTTCCTATTATTTTCCCCAAAACATATAAAGCGTAAAACGCGCAAAACTTTCATGTAAATCAGAGTTGTAAAATGTTGGTCGAAAGCCATAAGATTCCTGTAACGCAGGGAGTCGGACCTTTTTATGAGCATGAATTATACGCTCGGAATGCGTCACTTCGAACGGAAAACCCTCGTCGCTCGTGTGTTATATGTAGGACATCGAATTACCAGATTTTCCCAGAATCGAAGTCTTTCTGAACATCCCGCAATCCGAATAGAATAGAATACGGAAATCTCTTAAGAAAGAAATATTTAATCGCACCGCGAACGCAAATTGTTGGATTTAATAGATTCGTGCGCCAGCCTTCTCTTAAAATAATCGAAGAAATAACAACGTCGAAAGCGCAGTAAATCGCGACGCGAACGAAAAGTTTCATTTGGATAACACGTCTCGAATAACTTAGCGAGCGATCGCTAAGTTTCCGCGCGATATGTCAGTATACGTTAACGGCTCATAATATGCTAATGCTTAAAAAGAAAAAGGAAAACGGCTATGCGTTGCACGAACTTGACGCCGTCATCTACGTGTACTATACTATTTTGCACGGTATGTTATATTGTACTAAACTGGTATACATTTACGCGAGATATACGATACAAAATGTAAAAAAAAAAAAACAAATCTTGTCGAAAAATTGTGTCATACTATTTGTACATCTATAAATTCGTTGTTGCTTTTTGTATCGACGCTACGATAAATGCCAAAAATAAACTTCGCCAGACATTTGCATTTTATCGTTAGCGTAATTTTTTTATTATCTCATATTTTATTTTTTTCCAAGAACGTATTGCCATTGATTTTGCTCTTCTGATAGAAAGTTTGTGCATTAGCGGAATATTGTCATCTTGATATACTAATTTATGTAAATAAATGTTTTCTTATTTGACTAATTAAATGATTAAATGATAATTTATAATGATTAACGAGACGTAAATCGCTGGAAGATTATGCGTGTCCCGTTAGCTTGGCTCGGGAAAAAAATGCACCGCGACCGGAAAAGCGCGATTTCAAAACGGCCGAACGAGCACCTTCCTCTACCTGTTTTCTAATTTCCAAGCGAGGACGACGAGATCGGATCTCGTTGCGAAGGGGAACGCGCGATACAGGACGTTTCACAATATTGTCGGTCCCCGGGTCCGTGGGGCGGACGAGATGGGGAGAGGAAGCTCTTCAAACCCTTGTCACCACAAAACTCGACTGGAAATCGAATTCTCAGGGCATCGAATGACAATTTAGCCTCGGTCGTGTACGAGCTAGGGAGACGGGAGCGAATAGAGCTGATGCGACGGTGCGAGAGGAGAGAAATAGGGAGATGGAGAAACGAGATGAAATAGACGGCGTAGGAAGGACAAGAAGGAGAGGAGATATACCCGATGTCGCCCAGTGTTGCAGAGATGTTATCATCCTGCGGAGGAGGTAATACCACCGCAGGGACGTAAGCGATGAAAAGGTGCCCGGGCAACTAACCGGGGCCCTAACAATCGTGTCGCGCATTCTTCTCCGGACGATCCGCTCGCCCCGATAGTTTCGACAGAGTTGCAATTTGCTCGATGCGGTTGGCTCGGCCGATCCTCCCCTGCCCCCCTTGCTCGGCCGTAAAGGCTCCTCCGCACCCGGTGGTGCGGACGACAATGAGATCCTTATCGGGAGGGAGCCCGCGGTATGTGTTTCTTCTTCTCGCTCTCCTTCCGTTCCGCGTTGGAGCAGCTGCTCCAGACACGAATCGCATTTGTGTACCAAGATACGCGAGTCCTAGTAAACGTGTAAAGTCGAACATAAGACGAGAGGATTTCGATTGCTTGGCGAGCTCTACGCCGGATCGAACGGACGGGTTGAAACGAAATCTCGCCGAGAATCCCGAACCGAAATCGTATATTCACAGATTCGCGAGCGTAAAATCTTATTCAACGTCGCGGAAAGTTTTCTTAGACACGCTATATACGTTAGATATGCGTTAGATTATACGCCATTCCCGTTTAATGGGATGGATATTCAAGGGGTAACGTCCGCGAAAACGAGTCGTTATTAACGGGAGTTTAATCGTTTCGCTGTTTCCGCGATGCGATCGACCTGTCCCGTGCCTCCTTAAAGGTCTCCGCACACCGGTCTACCACCACCGACGACAATGAGAGAGCCTTATCAAGATCGGCGAGCATCCTTCTCGGCTACCACCAGCTGCATCGCTTCTTCTTGCCCGCGATCCTACCAGCCGCGCAGGACGATGTAACAACTGTCTCTTTCTCTATATTCTGCAAAGTTTTTCGGTGAAAAAAAAAAAAAGGAAGA